GAGATGAGGGTTGCGGCAGGTAATGCCTCACACGCTGCAGTTCTCATCCCACCTTCTGCCCTCCCTTCTCCCCTCTTATCCCCCTTCTTCCGTCATCCCTCCACCAGCCTACCGCCGGGCAGTGAGGGAGCAGAAGCTGGAGGCGGAGATGCGGGTGGCGGGCAAGGAGAGGGACGCGTATGTGACGCGCGTGCAGCAGAGCAAGGTGCTGCAGAGGCGACAGGCCAAGGCCGCCAAGAAGGTGCGTGTGCGTGCGTGTGTGTGTTGTGTGTGTGCACGTGTGTGTTCATTCCTGTGTGAGCCTGTGAGGTGCCTATAAAAGGAGAGGAACGCGTATGTGGCGCGAGTGGAGCAAGGTGCTGCAAAGGTGGTCAGCCAAGGCCGCTAAATAGGTGGAGGGGGGTGGTGGATGGGTGGGTGCGTGTATGGTTGGGAGTGTGCTTGCATGTGTAAGGGTGACAAAGGAGAGGGATGAATATGTCATACGCCACCGGTGTGTATCTGCACCATCCACCGGTGTGTATCTGCACCATCCACCGGTGTGTATCTGCACCATCCACCGGTGTGTATCTGCACCATCCACCGGTGCACCATCCACCGGTGTGTATCTGCACCATCCACCGGTGTGTATCTGCACCATCCACCGGTGTGTATCTGCACCATCCACCGGTGTGTATCTGCACCATCCACCGGTGTGTATCTGCACCATCCACCGGTGTGTATCTGCACCATCCACCGGTGTGTATCTGCACCATCCACCGGTGTGTATCTGCACCATCCACCGGTGTGTATCTGCACCATCCACCGGTGTGTATCTGCACCATCCACCGGTGTGTATCTGCACCATCCACCGGTGTGTATCTGCACCATCCACCGGTGTGTATCTGTGCACATAGGGAGGAAGGGAGCAAGGGAAGAAAGCTTTGGCTCTCTCCCACAACAACTGCCTTGCCCAGCTGTTGTGACATGAAGCCTTCCCACATGTCGTCATTTGCATATCCGCATGCGACCTCACCCATCTAGTACATGTCCACCTGTCATGAACTTGACCATCCCTGACCCTCCCAGACCCTCCCTTCCCCCCCTTCTCCTCTCTCCCACGCCTCCATTCCTTACCATCCTCTCTCCTCTCTCCTGCTCCCGAATTACCTGTGCCAGGCCAAGCAAGCAGCAGCAGGGGCGGAGGGAGGGGAGGGGGCAGCGCAGCAGCAGGTTCGACAGCCTGTGCGGCACTACATCCAGCGAGGGGCGATAGGGGAGGGGCAGGAGCAGGAGGATGGTAGACTCATGTCCAGAGGCGTGCTGGGGAAGGTGAGAGGCGTGGTGGGGAAGGTGAGAGGCGTGGTGGGGAAGGTGAGATGCGTGCTGGGGAAGGTGAGAGGCGTGCTGGGGAAGGTGAGGGAGACTGGGATGATTAGATTGTGATGTGAGGGAATGTGGTGGGGGTGTGCATACCACAGTGATGCAGCAGTGTGTCGTTTCGCTGAACAATGCTCCAGTGACTGGTATCCACTGGGGCTGGTTGTCCTCGTCAGTCATGCCATGATGTGGCTTGCCCTCGTCAGTCATGCCATGATGTGGCTTGCCCCCGTCCCTCCTCTTTCTTGAACCCCTTCTTTCTTCACCTGCTTTTCCCCCCTGCTCCACACCGTGCTTGCCCCCTCTGCTTACACTGCGCCCTCCTCTCCCTCTCCGTTGTATTGCAGGTACTAGGCTGACCTCACTGCTCTCACACCAGCTGTATCAGTACTACGGTATCACTCTTGCACATGGTATAGATTTGAAACAATTGTTTCTTTCAAACCAGCATATACAAGAGATGGTAAACAAAATTCCACACCATGGCCTCTCCGACTGGTCCTACATGTTTAGCCTCTGTTGCTGAATTCCAAAACCAAAACTTGCTTTTATCACTTTTGACAAAGCAAGTGTAGTGCAAACCATGCCCACAAGTATAATCGGGTCGAGGAGCTGCAATCAGCCAATCATTGAGGAACGCCAGCCCGTACCGTCCTACATGCTTAGCTATAACGTCGTTCATATGCGAAATGAGGGCGTTTGTTCCGAGATTGCAGCAGCAGTTCAACTGCTTCGGAGGGATGCTTCGGTACAGAAACCAAGGGCCCTTGGCAGGATGCGTCTCAGATTCAACCTGCCCTGGAAGTTGCTGCTGCTCCTGCTGCTGCCGCTCCCGCTGTGCGAGTTCCATTTCAGAGTGAACCCACTGCAGGAAGTTGGGCAGAAAGTATCCCAACGCGTTTTCGGGCTCATCGCAAAGAGAAGTCGTCCAGAAGCCGATGTCTACAAGAGTCACATCCGCTGTGGTGGAAATGTCTGGGAACTTGAGGGTTTGAAGTGACGAGGCAACCTTATTTCTGCAGCGCAGGGTAAATGGCGGAGAGTTGAGGGGAAGAGAAAGAGAGAGAGAGAGCACGTGGAGTGTGTTTGGAGATTGGACCACGGGGTACAGGTACAAGAACAACAATATGCATTTTAACTGAGGGTTCAAGAATGAATGGATCAAAACAACAGGATGAAGAAGTCACGACCATCTACGAGCTTACTGCGCCTGCGTCCAAAAGGGCCGTCGGTGAAAATCCCTCCAATCCAATAAAAATTCAGCTTCAGGGGCTGCAGCTCCGCGCTCGGGGGTGGCACGACCAATCGGATGTCCTGGTGGAACCTCACAGTCGTCTCATTGACCTTGCCAGTGAGGAGGAAGAAGAGGTGGTGGAAGAGGAAGCGCACGTGAGAGTCTCCCACAAAGTTAATCTCGGAGATGCCCCGGGATTGGAGGGCGGAGAGCCAGTGGGAAATGGGGGGGAGGGGGGGCGCACAGGGGTAGAGCTGTCACGTGTAGGCTTGCGTGTGGGCGTTGAACAGCCAGCGGCCGTGGATGGAATGGTCGCATGGCGAATCTGCATCTGTGCTGGGTTGAGATATACCAGAAGTAGCTGCTTCAGTTGTTGGAGCAGTAGCTGGCTCCGTAGTTGGCTTAGTAACTGGTTCGATAGCTGGTGTGGTTGGCTCGGGGGGTGGTTCGGTAGGACGTGCGGTGGCTGGTTCCGTAGCTGGTTCGATGGGCGGGAGGACGGTGAGAACCCATTCTGCCATGACATGCGATCCCGTGCTGCTGACTCGCTCCGAATACTCGGGAGCAAAGTCCAGCGTGTCGCACTCTGATTGGACCAGGACGCTGATTTGGCGGGGCGTCGGGGAAAGAGGAACCAATTGGAAAGGAGGGGTTTTGAGAATCTCATTTATGGGAGGTAGTGGGCATGTGAATGGGTGGATTCACGCGAGAGTTGAGGAGAAAACAAAATCAGGGAGGAAGATTCAGCATTCCTTCCCTCCCTATTTCCCTATTTCCCTTTATTCCCTCCTTCCCCTTCCCCTTTGTCCCCCATCCAACCTTGCCCTCCCTCCTTCCCTTCTCCTTCACCCCAGAAAAAAAAGGCATTTTTCTGTGCGAGGAATCAAAGAGAAGGGAGGGTTTCTGGGAAGTTAATTAATGGGGGGTAGCAAGCATCTGAAGGGGTGGATTCACGAGAGAGTTGAGGAGAAAACATCATCAAGGAGGCAGATTCCGCATTCCCTCCCTCCCTTTTTCCCGACCTTAAGATCCTATATCCCTTTATCCCCTCGTCCACCTTCCCCTTTTTTCCCCATCCACCCTTGCCCTTCCCCCTTCCCTTCCCCCTCACCCCGGGAAAAAGGGGCCCTTTCCCGCGCGAGGCGCACCTGTAGTTACCAGCGTCCCACACTCGGTAAGTGACTCGCCATCGCGTGACGTCACCCTTCTCTGTAGTCACATCCGCTACAGCCAAGGCAGGGCCCACCAGCCTCACCACAAGCGACTCGCGCAACCCACCCACGCCCATCCGCGTGCTGCTGCTACTGCTGCTGCTGCTGCTGCTGCTACTGCTGCTACTGATGCTGCTAGCGCTGCTGTTGGTGGTACTGCTTGTGCTGCTGTTGCTGCTGTTGCTGGCATTATACCTATCGCTACCACTGCTGTCGCCTCCAGTACTATAGTTGGAGGCCGCGGTACCGCATGCGCGAGCCACCCATTTGGCAGGCGATCGGATGGCGATGTCGAAAGCGCACAGCTCGCCCACCGTGCAGCGACCACACCCCCCGCCGAATATCAAAACGCCTCCCTTCCGCCGCCTCCAAATATTACTTTCCTCGCTTAAGCTGTTTTCCAATGTTCCTGTCTGGTTGCCAGAAGTTGGTATTGGAGAAGGCACCACCTGATTGCCACGATCGTCCTTCTGCGCTGACCCTTCTCGCTGCGTCCCGCCATTATTGATCGTGTCGGTGCTGCTTCCCGACGGGTCCCTCCCGCTATACCCGCCATGGTCCCCGGACCACCAGCAAATCGGATCAAATGCTACCGGAGGAGTTTCCAAGACTTCGCAATTCTCCTTGCGCAGACACGTCAGCGTCTGAGTTAGTAACCTGCTCGTTCGCGAAAACGTTGACGCTTGTAGCGTCTGTAAAGAAAATGTACAATTGGAGAACTACCACTAACGCGAATACGGCTAGCAAGACCACAACAAATAGCCAAGACTTCTTCAGGTCATACTAATGAAGCTGCCTGGAGAGGCTTCGTCCTACGAATATGCCTCGGGTCGGTTCAAGGAGAAATTTGCCCTGCTCCGATGGAAGCGCGCGTTTTATTGTTCTCGACTCGAACTACTGAAATGTAACATACCGTAAGTTTACTTTTTATTTCAACAGAGTGAAGATGGAACCTCAGACAAGCACAAAACCGAATGTTTTTATTACAAAAATCAGGGCAACTAGCATAACGCGGCCCATATCCAAGGTAATCAACCCTGTTGCTGCAGGGCTGGCTAATGAGACAGGTTATGAACCGAGCGAGGACCATGCGCACACAAGTAGGTACAATCTACTGGTACGCAGCATTACTGTACCCCTTACGGTAATGTCCATACAAACAGCAAGCAAGCCACTCACGCTCCAAATAATCAACCCTATGTTGGAGGCGGCAATTTGTACGGATGAACGAGAGCACATGCAAGCTCCAGTGCCTCGAGCAGAAGAGGCGGCTGACTCTCAACATGCAGTGGAGGCACAGCCAGGGCGATGGGTAATGTGGTTGCAGCAGCCTCGTTTGCAGTGATTGGGCGGGCAGCTTCAAGGCGGGCAAGGACTGGAGCCAGGATCTGAGAGACGCATGTGTGGCGCGCAGTGGGTTATGGCATTGTGGAAAGGCACCATGGTGTGGGAAGGATTGAGGATGGCGCCGACAACACATCACGAAAATCAAGCTTTGGGCACCAAGAGTGTCAAAACAGTTTTCATCCCAGGTTACATCCTTGTTACAGGTGGCCTTACCCATAAGGGCCCTTACCTTGCGTGCATGTCCGCCAAACGCCACACCCGCGACTGTGAGGGCATGATCTGCAAGGCGTTGAGATGGAAGAGTGCATGGGCATGCATGGTTGAGATGGAAGAGTGCATGGGCATGCATGGTTGAGATGGAAGAGTGCATGGGCATGCATGGTTGAGATGGAAGAGTGCATGGGCATGCATGGTTGAGATGGAAGAGTGCATGGCAACTGTTGTGGCGCTGATCAGAGCAACTGTTGTGGCGCTGATCAGAGCAACTGTTGTGGCGCTGATCAGAGCAACTGTTGTGGCGCTGATCAGAGCAACTGTTGTGGCGCTGATCAGAGCAACTGTTGTGGCGCTGATCAGAGCAACTGTTGTGGCGCTGATCAGAGCAACTGTTGTGGCGCTGATCAGAGCAACAAAGGGAGAAGCAGCAGCGCGGGCTAGCACGCACCAGAACCAGAAGCAGGCAGCAACCCTTGCTCGTGTAATGCCGTGAACGTGTGACTGTTGGTCCCGCCTGCTATTTGCAAGTAACCTGGTAATACAGGGGGTGAGAGAGGGGGAAGGCGGAGCGAGCAGAGAAACAGCTGAAGAGGATGGCAGGAATGAGAGAAGAGATAGGCTTGAGAGGGGAGAGATGAAGGACGATCAAACCGACATGGCTGGACCCAGAGCAGAATAAACTGCGTACCATTATGTGCCGCAGGTAATGAACACCCCAACTTCACTAAGTAAAATCACCTGCTTTGCATACCACTTATCACCTGGCCGCACCTAACCTGGCCGCACCTCACCTGGCCGCACCTAACCTGGCCGCACCTCACCTGGCCGCACCTCACCTGGCCGCACCTCACCTGGCGGTCTGTCCTGGAGTGCCGCCACCCTGGCAGCCAATCGCACGGCGGCACGTGTCGCTCCGGCACCTATGTCTCCACTCATAGGGCGACCGTCCAACTAGGGGGAGGGATGGAGACACGCGGGCGGAGAGGAATGGGGTGAGGAAGGAAGGGTAAGGGGAGAGAAATGGATGGGGAGAGGGGAAAGGAAGGGCGGGAGGGGAATTGTGTGTACACGGCATGAGGTGCAGCAGCTGTGAAAGGGTGGCAGTGGAGAGGCGCGGCAGCATGGATGGAGCTGTACAGAGTGCTGGCATGGTACGGCTGTACAGAGTTCTGGCATGGTACGGCTGTACAGAGTGCTGGCATGGTACGGCTGTACAGAGTGCTGGCATGGTACGGCTGTACAGAGTGCTGGCATGGTACGGCTGTACGGCATGGTACGGCTGTACGGCATGGTACGGCTGTATGGCAGGTGTGGCAGCTGTATGGTAGCAGCCTTTCATATGCATGGAGCACGGCAGCATGTATGGCGTGCTTATGAAGCACAGAGTGCCATTCAACACCTGCCAGAGGTTGGCCGCAGAGAGGTGTGTGCACAAAGTGCGGTGCAGGGCGTGCATTCCATGCACAAAGTGCGGTGCAGGGCGTGCATTCCATGCACAAAGTGCGGTGCAGGGCGTGCATTCCATGCACAAAGTGCGGTGCAGGGCGTGCATTCCATGCACAAAGTGCGGTGCAGGGCGTGCATTCCATGCACAAAGTGCGGTGCAGGGCGTGCATTCCATGCACAAAGTGCGGTGCAGGGCGTGCATTCCATGCACAAAGTGCGGTGCAGGCCGTGCATTCCATGCACAAAGTGCGGTGCAGGGCGTGCATTCCATGCACAAAGTGCGGTGCAGGGCGTGCATTCCATGCACAAAGTGCGGTGCAGGGCGTGCATTCCATGCACAAAGTGCGGTGCAGGCCGTGCATTCCATGCACAAAGTGCGGTGCAGGGCGTGCATTCCATGCACAAAGTGCGGTGCAGGGCGTGCATTCCATGCATGTGAAGTGCTGCAAAGGGGAAGCATGGAGTGCCACTAGACAGTACCTGCCAGAGGTTGGCCGCAGAGAGGTGCGGCAGCATGGTGTGGTGCATGGCATGCATGGCAGCCGGCATGCTGTCCCCCAGGTCTGGCAGACTCACCTGCATGCACATGGGGGGAGGGCGTGGGGGTGGGGGACAAAGGAACGCGGAGTGAGAGGAGGAGTAGGAGAAGAAGAGTGAGCGGACGTAGGAATGAGGTAAAAGAGAGGGGAGAGAGGGAGGGCGGAGAGATGTATGAGCATGTGAATGCCTGAAACAGAAGAGACACAAAGTAGGACCAGAGTTGGAAGGTCTTGATTACTTTTCAAACGAATCAGAGCTGGAAAGTGGGTCAACTACTCACAGCAACGAGCTTTAGAGCCCCTGCTGCTTCACCGATGGATGCCCACAAGGCGTTGAACTCGTCCAGGTGGCTGCACGTGATTGGATGGATGACGTGGAGAGAGGCGCATTGGGATACAGCTCTATGCAGAGATTCACCACTAGTGGATAGAACGTGCAAACTTGTGCAAGGATTGAAATGGGTAACAGGTGGCAGCTGTTCGAATTTGACAGGGTAGTGAATCACAAGGGGTGATTTACCCTGGCAGCGTGTGTATTTCGATGGCATCAACAAGGCCGCTGCTGAGGAGCTTCAACGTGTCCTCCTCTGTTCGCTGGTGCTCCTCTGCCGCTGATGGGGGCGAGAGGGAGAGGGGGGGAGGGGGAGAAAGAGAAAGACACGCACATGAGCAGGAAGAGAGAAGTGAGGAGGCAGAGAGAGGGGAGGAGGCAGAAGCAGCAGTGGCGGAGTTACGAGGGGAAATCCAGCGGCACTTTATTCCGACGCAGTTTGGGGTGGCGGTGCAGGGAGGCTCTGACCTAGTTGTCCACCACACCGTGCGCTGCCTTTCCGCATCCAGGCCACACCACCTCGTAATCCACCTGGATGTGGAAAGCGCGTTCAATACTATTGAACGCAAATCCTTCTTCAGCGCTCTCCGCGACAGCCCCCTCGCCCCACTACTCCCACTCACCCGCTCGCTGTACGCACACCACACCCGACAGAGCTGCTCCTGGGAGCGGAATTCGCTGCACCGCCACTGAGCACTGAGCAGCAGCCTTGGGGTGCGCCAGTGGAGACCACGTGGGTCCCCTTCTCTTTGCAGCAGCCATCCAGGGCCACCTGCACGACACGGCTGCGGCGTTCGCTGACGTCACGGTGGTGGCCTACGCGGACGATATCACGGTCATAGGGCCACCCACCCACCATGGCCACGGCAGCTTTCACTGACCTCACCCAACGCCTTGGCCAGAGCGGCCTCCGATGCAAGCTGGCTGAATCGTGCGCCTGGTCCCCGCATCCGCCAGCCAGCGACGCCCTGCCGCCAGGCCTGACCTTGAACACGAATGGCATCATCGTGGTGGGAAGCCCCGTGGGCACAAGAGAGTTGTGTGGCGACAACATTGGAGGCACAGTGGTGGAGTCCATTGCCCCGCTCGGACCTCTCATCGGGCTCCACCCACAGCATGCCCTCCTGCTGCTCTCCCCATGCATCAGCACGCGCATCACCTTCCTGCTGCTCTCCCCATGCATCAGCACGCGCATCACCTTCCTGCTGCCCACCACAGCGCCACACGCCCTGCCACTACAAGAATGGGAGGATTGGAGCAAGCAGCTGCTATTAGCACGGCTCGCCTCAGCAGGCCTTTACCCACCCCGGCGCCAATGTGAGCTCGAACGGCTGCGCAGACAGGCCTCCTTGCCCGTGAGCCTCGGAGGACTTGGTCTCACTGACCCCGCTTCCGAGGCAGCCCCTGCGTACGTTGCGTGTACAAGAGAAGTCCGCCACCTCTTGCAGTCCCTGGCCCTGCCCCACACCACCACGCTTGCTTCTGCACCGCACCTGCTACTTCCCACCTCGTCGCCACCCAACATCATCTACGACCTGGACGCGAGGCTGCCTGACAATGCCCGTGCCTCCCTCCCTGCTAGACGAGCGCTCCAGGCGCAGCGCAGCATCGAACGCCTCCAGAGCCTGCTCTGGGAGGAAGTCGAAGCAAGCAGGGCGGAGGAGCTCCTGGCAGAATAGCGCAGCGTAGCCTCCTCACCTGAGCTCCGCCACGCCATCCGACTGCTCAGCCTGAGGGGGGAGGGCGCGGGGGAATGGCTCCACGCACTCCCCCTTACGCCAGACCTCACATTCTCACCTGGACGGTTCAGAACAGCATTAGAAGTCCGACTTGGGCTTCGAATGAATGTGCCGACCGTATGCTCCTGCGGGGAGCTGGTCCCCGACTGCAGCCTCCCAAAGCATCTTCTGCGCTGCAGTGAAGGACCCGATCGCACCACCCGCACCCACAACCAGCTTGCCTTGGCTCTCATCAAGATGGCAAAAGAGGCACAGCTGGTGGTGTATGCTGAGAATGCTATGTACTCACCGCCCCACGACCCCAAGAAGGCGGATGTTATCGTCAGAGACCCGGAGTCGGGGGAGACTTGGATCACTCATGTCACCATAACCGATCCCGTACTTCTTAACCGCGACCCAGCAGCCCGTAAACCGCCGGGGTGGGCAGCCAGGGAAGGCGCAAGACGCAAAGAGCCCGCCACACGGAGCATGTAGGCTTCGTGGCCCTGGCGGTGGAGACCCACGGGGCTCATGCCCCATCTACCTCCGCCTTCTTAAAGCCCCATCTCTCGGCGGCAGCTACACGGAACCGCTTTCGTGCCAACCCACTGGCCAAGCTGGCGAAGAAGATTGGCGCCCATTTCAGGCAGCGCTGGGCTGTCATGCTGCAGCGCAGCCAAGCTAACGCCCTGCATGTGCAGGCACGAGAGGGGATTGAGGCGCCACACCCGCAAGCTCCAGCGGACCCTTGGCCCCTGCAGCTGGGGGACCTTCTCTGCAGCTGGGGGACCTCCTCTGCAGCTGGGGGACCTCCTCCACACCTTGGAGTGAGGGTAGGTACTAGGGGAAGGAAAGGGATGTATAGGGTCAGAAATGCATGTTACCCGACCATGTCTTCCATTTCTCAACTTGCCTGTTCCAACACCCGCATTAAAACAAAGGACCGTTTGAGGGGAAGAGGCAGAGAGAGGGGAGGAGGCAGAGAGAGGTGAGGAGGCAGAGAGAGGGGAGGAGGCAGAGAGAGGGAAGGAGGCAGAGAGAGGGGAGGAGGCAGAGAGAGGTGAGGAGGCAGAGAGAGGCGAGGAGGCAGAGAGAGGCGAGGAGGCAGAGAGAGGCGAGGAGGCAGAGAGAGGCGAGGAGGCAGAGAGAGGCGAGGAGGCAGAGAGAGGCGAGGAGGCAGAGAGAGGCGAGGAGGCAGAGAGAGGCGAGGAGGCAGAGAGAGGTGAGGAGGCAGAGAGAGGCGAGGAGGCAGAGAGAAGGGCAAGGCAATCCTTCACGTAAAGACAGCTCAAGAGATGGGGGAAGTATGCCAGGGGAGAGAGGTAGAGAGAGACGGTTCTTTAGGCACCTCAGAATACTGAGTGCACAGAGTGAGACGGACTTGAGAGTGTATGAGTGGCGGCACGGGAAGAAACCATGGACTGAGCGGGATGGGGTATACGGGCGCAGCTGGTGCAGCTGTGATGTGATTCAACGTGCCGTACGGCTGGCACTGGTAAATGCAGCGTGCCACCCTTTGCAGTAAAAGGTTATGGGATAGGGAAGGAAAGACGTACAGATGAGACCCAGGGGGCATACAGGGATGCATCGCCCACAGCCGTAGCACCGCTCTGCAATCACCCCATCGCTGCTGCTGCTGCTGCTGCTGCTTCCGGCCATGCTGGCCTGTGCAGCAGTGGGGCCAGCATCGGCGGCAGCGGGTGGGAAGCGGATGGCAGCGGCGGGGCAGACTCGCTCACAGGGCCGAGGGCAGGTGGACGGACAGACAGAGGCGTCGAATACTGGTGCGGTGGGGGCAGTGGAAGGAGGTAACAGGGGGGGGGGGAGGGGGAGTGACAGAGAGATCAATGGATGGTTTGGAGAGAGAGGAGGGGAAAGGTTACACGTGCAACAAGATGTGGCATAAGCGTAAGAAAGGGAATGCAGAGGCACGATGTGGTTTGGTGAGGTGAAGTGAGGTGAGGCGTGGAGCGAGAATTGCGCCAAGGACAACCCATTGTGCTCGGTACTAGCTACATAGGTACAGCTGCACAGAAAGGCATGCACTTTTCAAAGCACCCAAGCCCAGCTCGCCCTGAAGCCCACTCAAGGAACCCAACTGGCTTGCAAGCCTGCTTGGTGGGAGCACCCACCTGCTTTGCGGAAGTGCGGGTCCTGCCCATCGCTCACACTGACCATCACCCATGGCCGCCTGCCTCCCTCCCCATCCCCCCCTCCAGCCCTGCCCTCCCACAGCCCCTCCCCTGCAACCTCCCCCCCACTCCCACCCCTCAGCTCCCCTAATGCTTCCCCCACGCGCCCGTCCCTCTGGGCAGCTGCCGCTTCCCCCTCATACAGGCGCCCACCCCTGAGGGTCCGTGCAGCCCAGGCCATGGCGGCAGTGATGCCGTCCCTTGCTGCCGCCACCACTGCTGGCTCTGCTGCACAGTCTATGCAGTCCACTGGGGGGAAGGACGGGGTGGGGGTGCGGATAAGGGGATGATGAGCACGGTCCGTGAGAGAAGGATAGGATAGGTTGATACGTGCTGCCACAACCACTGCTAGCTCTGCCGCAAGGTCTGTGCAGTCCAGTGAAGGGGAGATGGGTTTGAGGGTGAGGGGAAGATGGCGAGATGAGGGAGGGATACAGGGGCCGAGAGAAAGATGAGTGTGGTGAGTGAGTGAGTGAGTGAGTGAGTGAGTGTGGTGAGTGAGTGAGTCGAGTGAGTGAGTGAGTGAGTGAGTGAGCGTGGTGAGTGAGTGAGTTGAGTGAGTGAATGAGTGAGTGAGTGAGTGAGTGAGTGTGGTGAGTGAGTGAGTTGAGTGAGTGAGACGAGTTGCTGCCACCGCATCTCAGCAACTGCTGCCACTGCTGCAAAGCCAATGCCAAGCACCCGTGGTGCGTTGGAGGCGACAAGGAAGAGCGTGCATCATGACTTCCCATCCTACATTTTGGGTGCTTCTCTCGTTCCAGCCGGTGTAAAGGACCCTTGGGATGGATATGAACCCATACAAAGCTTGCTCCCACCCTAGTTAATATTTTCCCCTGGACATCAGAAACAGAGGGTGGGGTGTGGGCAGCAGTGCTGCTGTGCTTCTGTGCTGCTGTGCTGCTGTGCTGCCTGCCATCATGACTTCCCATCTCATAACTGCATTCCACCGTACCTACCTCATCAGCATCTTACCGTACCTCATGAGCATTCCACCACCGTACCTCCAGCATGGCAGTGCATCCCCCATGCATGCACCCCAGCACAGCACAGCACGTACCACCAGCAAGGGTGTAGATGAAGGCAAGGTTGCGCACATCTGCCACGTCCTGGTCGGGGCGTTGGGGGGAGAGACAAGAGGGGCGAGGGGGAAAGGAGAGGGCAGAAGAGCAACGCACAGGGTTGTGAGCGAGCACGAGGGCATCTAAGTGGCCTCAAAGGTGAGCTCTGAAAAAGCCCCGCCTGCGAGGGTGTAGGTGACTGCAAGGCTGTGCCCGTCTGCCACGTCCTGGTGTGGTTGGGGCGTGGCCGCGTGGGGGGAAGACACGAGGGGCCGAGGGGGAAGGAGAGGGCAGCGCAGGGGCAGAGGGAAGGCGAGGCACGGGCAGGCGTGAGGCACGGGCAGGCGTGAGGCACGGGCAGGCGTGAGGCACGGGCAGGCGTGCCTGTTTATAGTAGCAGAGACAGGGAGGGGGGGATGCGATGGCAGCACGGTCCAGGTGCAGGCACAGCCCACGGGGAATCTCAAAAGGGAACCCGTGAGTGACAGCAGCACGCACAGCTCACCTCGAAGCTGCCCCCACGCTTTATGAGCTTCAACCACCGCCCCTCCTGCAGTGAGTGAAACGGCTCTGCCACGGTGCCACCTGCCCCCAGTGCATTCTCACTCTGCTCACATTGCACCTCCACTACCACCACTCAGCACACACCCGCACCTCACCCGAAGCTGGCCCCGCGAATGAGTTTCCGCCACCGCCCCACCTTGGGCAATCGCAGCAGCTGTGCCCATCATATATTTTCAGTCCACTCAAAATACAATCAGCACCAATCCGCGGCTCACCTCGAAGCTGGCCCCGCAAATGAGCTTCACCCACCGCCCTGCCTCCAGTGACCGCAATGGCTGCTCCCCATGCCCCTCGTGCACCACCGCACTCCCCCTCTCTGCTGCGCCCTCCTCGTGTCCCGCGCTGCCATGCGCATCGCGCTCAGGTGCATGAGTGCGGCGAATCAGCTCCGCGATCCGCTCGATACTGGCACACCCGGCTGCTCTCTCCCCTGTCTCTGCAGCAGCAGCCGTTGCCACGAAAACGCCCCTAGAAAGGTCGCCGCGGGACGAATCAGCAACAGCCGCGCGCGCGCTGAAGCAATTGCGCGGAGCACTGCGGATCGCCGCCTCGCGCCCCCTTCCCTCTCCGCGCCCCGCGCGCTTCATGCGCGCGCGGCATGGGAGACGAGCGCGTTCGGAGCCGGTCTCTGCCGCCTGCCTCTCTGCTGCACGCCTCGGTGCCTGCGCTGCACGCAAACACGACAGCACTGTAGGCAATGAGCGGGCGACACCTTTTGGTGTTGTGTCGACTCAGAAATCGCAAACACGGGAGCACTCGACGTGTTGTGGTGGCGGCAAATGCCATGACATATCAATCTGATGTATCAGGTGGCTCTGCGACAGCTCGCCACGGCCATGATGCCATGCCTTGCAGGTGGAAAATCGCCGAGTAGGAAAGCGACAAGTAGGATGCGCAGGAGAGAACGGACGTCTGGGAAAGCTGGCTGGGGATAAATCGAGGGTTGCTGAGCATGGCGCAGGTCAACGTTACTGGTCAAGCCAAGCGTCCGTGCTACCGCTGATGAATGTAGGAGAAACCAGGCTTACCGCGAATTCCGGCCCATGGCGGAGGTGCGAAATGCACCGGTAGGGGTGCGACGCGAGTAGCCATCTTGCTGGTTCTGGCTGTGGGGAGCCACGAACACAGTTTACGACGGCTAGCAATGGGGTAGAATGAGGAGGCATACGCGTTAAGGTGTACCATCAGAAACTCTGGTAGCTCGGCTATTGTCCAACATTCTTTTTGTGTAAAATGTATCTACAAAATGGTAACGTGTTTCGTATCCGGAAATTCGTTGCGTCGCAAAGTACGTCTGAAAAATACCCTGTGCAGGTCTTTCTCCCAGGCAACCGACAGTGGTCGCTGCGGTCCACATGTCGGCGAAGTGCCCTGCGACGCCCAAGCTGGAAGCCTTCTTGCCGAGCGTGGAGTTCGCGAAGAGAACCTGCGGCTCGTCAAGAACAACCTGGGGCCAGCTAGGGCAACAAACGGCGGTGGTCCAGCCATTGGCGGGTCAACCTCAACAGCTCCTCTCAAACATCTCGACTCGCGCGCCTGGGCGGAACCATCTGGAACTTGCGCTGCTTGCACTGCGCGCTCCCCAGGCTGAACGCTTTGCACGCGGCGAAGCTCACCCAGCACAGGGTCCTGTCGTGGCGGAATCGAACGAGTGGCCCTCACAGCGACCAGGTGCGTGCGCGGTGGGCAGGTAGAGCCCATGGAATTTCCAAGAACTGCCCTCCTATGTTCCCCACCCAGTGCGCCGCAAAACACGAGCTCGTGCCCAGCCACCCGGCCCTCCCACCCAGCCTCGTAGACGGAATAGTAGGCTAGAGTAGGGGAGGGGCCGAAATCTGTGGACCAGAGCAGAGAGCACCAGCCGCTTCCCCCCATCCATCTCAAGGGTGTGACCTTGCGCGCATCCTCGCATCTCAGCGCCCCCCGCCCACGGCGCGCGCCTTGCGCTGACTGTGGATCTCCGACTTGCGCGGGGCTTGATCCCACTTGCCGAGGACTCACCAGCTGTTCACTCGTCACGAATCCGACTCATAGCGACTACTAGCTACTGGTTACTGATTAGTAGTTACGTTATACATTCGCGTCGGCAAGCCGCAGTACAGCTAGCCGCAGCTGGACCTGCAGGCATCAACGTACTGGCATCGAGTTATGTCCAAAAGCTGAATACAGCGAATACCGAAAGGCGACTAATTATCAGCAATTACTAGAACTATTGAGAGAACTTTCGCCCTAGCAGGGGCGCGAAATCCACGTGGCTGGATCGTGTGGGCCACGCTGCACTGCGTCGGAAACGATGTTGCAGCCACGTGGCGTTCACGTTTCCAGCGACGGCGCACAGTGCGGCGGCCGCGATTTCACCACAGGTGGCGCGGGAGACCGCGACGGCATGGGCGCGGCGGAGCCGGTTGCGATTCGGCGCGGCGGCTGTAGCACAGATAGCGCTACAGGTGGCGCGATAGATAACGCGATAAGTAGCGGCTGTAGCGGCACCGACCGCGTCGCGAGCGGGCGATGCGCTGGCAGTAGCGGCGGCGGACACGAACTAGCTCAGTCGCGAGCGAGCGCCGAAAGCGGGCAGCGTGGAAGCAGCGAATTTTGGCCCGCGGAGTCATATAGACCGTTGGGTACTAGTAGCGTCGAGGACTCGCGGCAACGGAGCAGACTAGGCGGCGACAGATGCGGCAGGCAGTACGCGCATGGCGTGCGGGCGGAGCGGCAGCTGCGGCTGCTGCGCCCCGCGCTGCTGCTGCTCGCGCTGCTGTCGTGCGGCCAGTCGCCGCTCTCGCCCACCGCAGGGCCGCGCGCTCCAGCCCGTGATGGTCCACTGCGCACCCGCCACCCCGCGCTGCTCGTGGGCGCCACCCGCGCCTACTTCCCCTTCTTCCCCTCCTTCACCCAGGTAGGTTTCTCAACCCCAACCGCCAAGACCCCTAGACCTAAACTTGCCTTTTAGGGCCGATTTTGCCTTCTCAGTGGATTCCACAGGGTCGCCCCATGATGCCAGAGCCCCCGCCGGATGTAGCGCGGATTTCAGATGTCGTAGCGCGGGAGTCGTGGCGCGGGCGCGCTCGAACCTTGCTGTCCAGAACTCGCCTCGCGTTCCTCGCCTCGTGCTCGCGACAGTTACGGGCGTTAGAGGCGAAACGAAGGCTTTCCGCCGACCCCATTCCGGCGACGCCGCCTCTCCTCCGCCCTTATTGTCGCGTCCCGGTCGGCCCCCGTTACTCCTCCTCTCCCCATTCCCCCCTCCCCAACACTCTTTCTCACCTTCCACACCCGCCCCTCCCTCTTCCCTCCAGTTATTCTCCTCCCTTCCGCCTTTCCCGTCGCCCCTGTCCCCGCTCCCCCGTTCCCCAATCCCCTGTTCCGTCCGCTGTCTCGACTCGCCCCCTCTCACCCCCCTCCCTCCTCCACCCCCCTCCACCGTCACTCGCACCATCCTCGTTATTGCGATTCCTCGTACCCGCCGCACTCGATTCCTCCACCTTTCCTTCACCCCCTTCCCTTCCGCCGTTCCCTCCCGTCCCTCCCGCTCCCTTCCGCCTGCGACAGTCCTCAGGGCCGAGCGAAGCGTCGGCGACGCTGGCGACAAGCAGCAAAGATTCTGCGACGAATGTGACGAGTGCGGGCGACAGCAGAGGCAAGAGTAGCAGCAATAGCAGCAGTAGCAGCAATAGCAGCAGCAGCAGCAGCGGCAGTGACAAGAGCAATAGCAGCAGCAGCAGCGGCAGTGACAAAAGCAATAGCAGCAGCAGCGGCGGCAGTGACAAGAGCAATAGCAGCAGCAGCAGCGGCAGTGACAAGAGCAATAGCAGCAGCAGCAGCGGCAGTGACAAAAGCAATAGCAGCAGCAGCAGCGGCAGTGACAAGAGCAATAGCAGCAGCAGCAGCGGCAGTGACAAGAGCAATAGCAGCAGCAGCAGCGGCGGTAGCAGCAGTAGCAGCAGCAATAGCAGCAGCAGCGATAGCAGCAGCAATAGCAGCAGCAATAGCAGCAGTAATAGCAGCAGTAGCAGCAGTGACAAGAGCAGCGGATCGGCGGCAGGAGGCAGTGAGAAACCGAATTCCACGTCGGACGGAAGCTCATCGGGCAGCAGTTCATCGTCAGGCAGTGACAAGTCATCGTCAGGCAATGACACGTCATCGTCAAGCAATGACACGTCATCGACATCATCAGGCAGTGACAAGTCATCGCCAAGCAATGACACGTCATCGTCATCGTCAGGCAGTGATAAGTCATCCTCAAGCAATGACACGTCATCTTCAGGCAGTGATAAGTCATCGTCAAGCAATGACACGTCATCGTCATCGTCAGGCAGTGATAAGTCATCCTCAAGCAATGACACGTCATCGTCCGGCAGTGATAAGTCGTCGTCAGGTAGTGACAAATCATCGTCAGGCGGTGACACGTCATCGTCTGGCAGTGACAAGTCATCTTCAGGTAGTGACAAGTCATCGTCGAGCGGTGACACGTCATCGTCAGGCAGTGACAAGTCATCGTCAGGCAGTGATAAGTCATCGTCAGGCAGTGATAAGTCATCTTCAGGCAGTGATAAGTCATCATCGGGCGGTGACACGTCATCGTCGGGCGGTGACACGTCATCGGGTTCAAGCGAGCCATCCACCGACAGCGGCGGCGGCGGAAGTGACACGGGCGGAGGGGGGCAGTCGGCGGAAGGTTGGCGCGCGCCGTGGGCGAAGGGCGGAGTGGCGGAGGCGGAGACGGTGCACCTGGTGCTCACGCGCGGAGCGCGAGCGGCGCAAGCGGAGGTGAGCCGCCGAGGCTGGCGGGGGTGGGCGGGGTTGGCGTAAGCAGGGAGGAGTGGCGTGCGGAGTGCTTGGGTAGAGCCGGGAAACGGGTTGCGAGTGGGGGAAGGGGTGCAGGCGTTTCTTGCGCGCTGCTCGCTGGATTGCGGGGTTGCGCGGGAGGGAAGGGGCGGGCGGTTATTGCTTTGGCGGAATGGAACAAGTCTCCCGCTTCCTCGCTTTCTCCCTTCCCCCTTTCCCATTGATACTTCGTCAACTCCCATTCCCTCGCGCCCCCCAACTCCCCCCCTCCCTTCTCCACCACCTCCTCTTCCCGCCATTCACCCGCGCGCCAGCCCACACCAGCGGCGGAGGCGGCGGTGGTGGCGGCGGGGCTGCCGGAGCTGCCGCGAGTGGGGCTGAAGAACGAGATCCGCTACGAGTACGGCGACGCCAGGGACAGCGCGCTGCTCAGGGTGAGTCGTACGCGTTTCCAGCTGCTCATCCCTGTCTGCCCCTTTACCCACCCCCCAGCAGCCCTTTCCCTCCGGCTCATACTCCTCCTCTTGTTTCCCCCCCTCCCCCCTTCCCCCCCTCCCCCCTTCCCCCTTCCCCCCCTCCCTCCTTCCCCCTTCCCCCCCTCCCACTTCCCCCCTTCCCCCTTCCTTCCCTCCCACTTCCCCCCTTCCCCCTTCCTTCCCTCCCCCTTCCCCCCTTCCCCCTTCCTTTTGTCTCCCGTCCCTCCCTCCCCTCCCCCAGACCACCATGTACACGGCGGTGGGCGCGAGTCGCGACCCCGCAGTCAGCGCAGAGTTTAGGGCCGCCGTCTCTCGCGCTGACGTCACCATCGCGCCACCCCGCAGCAGCGCGGACAGGTGGGGAGAGGGGGAGGGGGGAGGGGAGGAAGTGGTGCGGCTGGGGATGGGCGGGCGGGAGGGCTGGGGTGGAAAACCATGGGGGTGTGGAGAGAGCTAGACGGCGACAGGGACGGGGGGGAGGGATAGGGAGGGGAGGCATGGGGAGAGGCGCAGGTGGGTGGTGAGGAATGGATTGTGGCATGATGGCATGATGGCGTGATGGCATGATGGCATGATGGCGTGATGGCATGATGGCATGATGGCGTGATGGTATGATGGCATGATGGCGTGATGGTATGATGGACACAGCGCCCCACCTGTCCTGGGCAGGATAGGCCTCCCCTCACCGCTTCCCCACAACCCTACCCTCCCCCTCCCTCCCCCCCCCAGCAGGTACCACACGGAAGTGCGAGTGGGGTCATCCCAGCAGGCGTTCAGCGTGATGGTGGACACGGCATCGGACCTGCTCTGGCTGCCCTGCGACTGTGTGCGCTGCACCGACGGGCCCTCCTCCTCCGCCACGGTGAGCACAGCCCTGCACGCACGTCCACATCGCCACCGTCCTGTGCGAGATAAAAGAGTTGCTTTGAGACGTCTCAAATCACCTTATCACGTGCACTGCACCGACGCACCCTCCTCCTCCGCCACGGTAAGCCCTGCACGCACGGCCACATCGCCACCATGCCCTGCCACTCCTCCACCTGCTCCACCTGGGCTGCCAACCTCTCCCTCACCCCCTGCCCTGCCCCCCTTTCTACCTGCCCCTTTCGCCCGCATTTCTCCGTGTCCTCTGCCCACCCTCCGTCGCCCCACCCCTCCAGCCAACGCCGTTCAACCCAGCGGAGTCCACCACGCTCGCCACCATGCCCTGCGACTCCAACACCTGCTCCGCCTCAGCGGACGACCGCACACTCTCAGTGGGCTGCAGCATCGCACCGGACCTACCCACACCGGACAGCACCTGCCAGTACTCGCTCGTGAGCAGCTTCCCCCAGGGCAGCTCAGCGGGCAACCTGGTGCGGGACGAGGTGCATCTCAGCCTCGAGGACGGCAGCTTCCTCGCACCCAACCTCACCTTCGGGTGCGCGTGCTGTGACCTTGGGGTTGGTGTGCATGCGGGCGTGGTGCCATGCGTGCTTGTGTGCTTCGCTGCTCGTCACGCTTGTCAGCGCCGTGTCTCTCCCACCGATTGCCCTACTTCCCCGCTCTTACCCCCTCTCCCCGTTCGCCCCCCCTCGCACAGCTGCGGGCGCTATGAGTCAGGGCTGCTGGGCACAGAGAGCGGCGCCCCAGGAGGCGTGATGGGGCTGGGCAGGGGGGCGCTCTCACTGCTCTCCCAGCTGCCCCTCCCACTCCATCCCCTTCCTCACCCTTCCCCCCTCCCCCACCCCATCCCTCCGTCCCCACCCCACCCTCCCTCCTTCCTCAGCTGTGGGCGCTATCAAACAGGAGTGCTGGCGACGGACAACGGCGCGCCAGGGGGCGTGTTGGGGCTGGGCACGGGGCCGCTCTCGCCGCTCTCGCAGCTGGCGGAGAGCGGGGTGGTGCCGCGAGCGGGCTTCGCACTGTGCCTGGAGGGGGACGATGCCGCTGCAGCTGGCGGTGGCAGCCACCTGCTGCTGGGGACCACGGACGCCGGGCCTGCTAGCGGGTCAACGCGCGTGTACAAGAGCAGCCTCAGGTGGGTTAGCTCGCACTGGGGTGACGTGCAGGGTGGTGTGTGTTGCTGGCAGCAGAGCGAGGCTGTGTGCTTTTACAGGGACTCGTTCGTTGAGTGTCACCCTCAAGCCTACGCCCACACGAGTGTGGACTAGTGCAAAAGCACAAGCTCATGTGGGGGGTGCACCCATCAGCCTCCTTTCTATTCCTCCTCTCTCCCCACCCCCCCTTCCCTTGCCCCTCACATCAGTCCGTTGGTCTATGTGAAGATAAAGGACATGCATCTGGGCACAGCGGACCTGGTGGTGACGCCCGCCATGTTCCCACCGCTCTCCCCCTCGGGGGCGGGCGGCACGGCGCTCGACTCCTCCTCTGCTGCCTCCGTGCTGCCCCGCCCCGCCTACATGGCGCTCGCCACTGCTGTGAGTGGTTTGCAGTGGTTCAGAGTTGTGCACTCCCCCATCTCACGTTGTCTCCCCTCCCCCGTCTCTCATTCCTTGTGAAGGTGAGCAGGTCTCAAGCCCTCCCGCATTCGTTTCCATCTCCCTCTCTGTCACGTCCCCCCGCGCATGGCGTATGTGTCGTCTCTGAGCGCACAGGAGGGGCTCTCACTCTCTCACTTGCTCCGCGCTGCCCTCTGCGCATGCGTGTGTGTGTGTATGTGTGTGTGAATCCTCTCCTTCCCTCCCCCCCCCATCAGTTCCTGGTGCAGTACCCATTGATGAAGTTTGCGTTGTCTGTGAGCGCACAGGGGCTTTCGTGTTCTCATTCCCTTCTCGCGGCATCTCTGCGCTGCACCTCTCCTCCCCCCCCCATCAGTTCCTGGTGCAGTACCCAAGCATGAAGTTTGCGTCGTCGGAGAGCGCACAGGAGGGGCTCGACTGCCTTGACGCCAATGATTACCACCAGTGAGTGCGGATGGGGGGGGGAAGAGTTGGGGGTGGTGGGGGGAAGGTGGGTGGGTGGAGGGTGGGCAGGTTTTCGGGTCGAGTGAAAAGAGGAGCGGCTGGACTGGGCTGCCTTAACGCCAGCGAGTACCACCAGTGAGTGCGGAGAAGAGGGGAGGGGAAAGGGACGGAGCAGGAAGCACACACAAGGGCAACGGGGGGAGAGCACCCGGCATGAGGTCCTTCTGCAGGAGAATACAGGTGCTCAGCTCATTCTGCTGCGCCCTCCTTCACGCCTGGCGCTCACCCCCACGTGGAGCCTTCTCCTTGCCCCATGCCCACGTGGCACCTCCTCCCCCAAAGCGCTACCAGTGTTCCGATCCCATCACCTCCTCCTCTCCCACGTCGCACCCGTTTCATTCTGTCACCCTCTTCTCTGTCACTTCAGCCCCCTTCTCACTGGATGTCAACCCCACTCCCTCTAACACCACTCACTCTCTCTAACACCACTCACTCTCTCTAACACCACTCACTCTCTCTAACACCACTCACTCTCTCTAACACCACTCACTCTCTCTAACACCACTCACTCTCTCTAACACCACTCACTCTCTCTAACACCACTCACTCTCTCTAACACCACTCACTCTCTCTAACACCACTCACTCTCTCTAACACCACTCACTCTCTCTAACACCACTCACTCTCTCTAACACCACTCACTCTCTCTAACACCACTCACTCTCTCTCCCTTCACCCATCTCTCTCGCCCTGCAACCCCTCTCCTCCCCGCCCCTCCCCTTGCAGGGCAACCATGACCCGCTCGGACTTCCTACAGCAGTTCCCGCAGCTCACACTCGTGCTGGCGGGCGGCAAGGGCAGCGCTGACTTCACCATCGCCCCCACCAACTACCTCAAGATCGTACGTGGTCATGTTCCAGGTGTTCCCACAGGTGGTCATGTTCCAGGTGTACGCGCAGGGGGTCATGTTTCAGGTGTACGCACAGGGGGTCATGTTTCACGTGTACGCACAGCTGCTCATGCTCCAGGTGTATTCTGACCCGACTCACAGGGGACCATCAACCCCCGCTAACTACCTCAAGATTGTACATACCCGTCGCCTGCCCTCCTGCTCTTGTCTGCCATGCCGTGACATGCCATGCCGTGACATGCCATGCCGTGACATGCCGTGACATGCCATGCTGACCCACAACCCCTCTATGTGTTCCCATCCCATGCCCTACCACGCGCCCTTGCCAGGCCGCCAGCAGCCCACACGTGGTGTGCTTCACAGTGCGCATGGCGAGCAGCCAGGCGGAGCGGGCGGTGATTGGTGACCCGTGGATGAGAGACAAGTACCTCGTGGTTGACATTCACAAGGATACACTCTCGTGGATTGATGCTAACTGTAAGTCGGGGGGAGCGGCCAGTGATAAGCGATGCATGGATGAGAGACATGTACCTTGTGACTGACACACACACGGACTCGCTCTCATGGCCTCATGCCCACTGTCAGTGCCGCCACCACTTCACCCACACCAATGCACCCTCACCAACACACCCACGCCAATGCTCCCGTACTTGACAGGCCTAGCCTGTATCAACACTTGCTCGCTTAATGCTGCACTCTCCTCTTTCTCCACTTCCCATCCTTCGCTCCACCTCTAGCACCGTTTTTTCCCTGCCTCACTCTCTCTCATGTGCCCCGGGTCCCCTCTCTAGCACTTCTCCATCCACTAACCTACCCTCCTCCCTTCTCCTGTCCCCCTCTCCCCCTCCCCCCCCCTCACCTCACCACCACAGGCACCACAGGCCTTGCCATTATCCGCAACACCACTCACAGCACCACCAACACCTCCTCCTCCTCCCCCTCCCCCCTCTTTCCCTCCTCCCCTGCGCCCTCCGGCCAGCCGCAGCCCCCTTTTAACTCCTCCTCCTCCACCAATCCGCCAGGCGACTCCCCCCCTCCCCCATACACAGCAGAGCCCAGCACCTACCCCCCCTCCATCTTCGAGACCAGCCCAGGCCCCACTGCTGCTCCCCCCTCCATCGCCCCGCCCTCCCTCTCCCCCCCCTCCCTGCCTCCCCCAAGCCCCCCACCCCCACCGCCACCCCCGCCCCCAAACCCCCCTCCTCCCGACAACCCTCCCCCAAACCCCCCCCCTCCGCCCAACAACCCTCCCCTGAACCCCCCCCCTCCGCCCAACAACCCTCCCCTGAACCCCCCCCCTCCGCCCAACAACCCCCCCCCAGCCAACCCGCCTCCTCCTCCGTCCTCTCCGAACGAGCCCCCCCTGGCGGGGTGCCAGCCGGCGCCCACGGACTGCGCCTTCTTCTTTGCGGGCCACGAGGGCACGGTGCCCACCTTCTCCATCCAGCCGCGCCAGGGCGACGCTGTGCTGTCAACGAGTGAGCTTAAAACGAGTATAATGGGCAGCGACATCCAGGTGCTGGCGGGCAACTCGGGCGAGGCGCAGATCCTGTGTGCCGAGGGCCAGGGGGCGGGCCTGGGGGGTGGGCAAGGCTCGGGGCTGACGGCAACGGCAGCCATGGCTATGAATGATGCTGCTGTGACACAGGACATTGGCAACCAGCTGTATATCACTGGCACGGTGCGTCAACTGAGGGGGGGAGTGGGGGTTGATGTGCGTGGTATATGGTGGTTGGTTGTGCATGGTGTTGTGTGGTGGTGCATGGTGTGTGGTGGTGCATGGTGTGTGGTGGTGCATGGTGCGTGGTGCATGGAGCATGGAGCTTGGAGCATGGTGCATGGTGCATGGAGCATGGAGCATGGTGCATGGTGCAGCAGTGCACATGCAGCCACATGGAGAGCCCATTCCTCCTCGCACCACCTCCTCCTTCTTTTCTCACCTCTTCTCTCTGTGCTGTGCTCATCCCTTGATTCTCTCCCCATTTCATGCTCTCCCCATGCCTCCAACAGGACGTGCAGCAGCGCACGTTCAACCGCATAGAGAACCTCTTCGCGCTGCGAAACGCATATGTGAAGCTGCGGGTGACGGCAGCGGAGATGGACGTGTTTGGCATGACCGTCAACATGAACCCCGGCGACGGCAACTCCTACTTCCCTGAAGACAAGCGCTGCGTGCTCTTCAAAACCAAACTGCCCGACGGCTGACCGGCTGGGTGGCCGGCTAGCTGGCAGGTTGGGCGACTGGGCGACTGTGTGGGTGACAGACAGTGTAGGTGGAGGATGAACCAGCAGCAGTCTCAGTTGCCAGGCTTGCCCACCAAGTGCCTCCCATGAACCAAGGGACATGGTTCGTGGTAATCTCTCAGGAAGATGCCTAAATGGGCGCAAAACTTGGGCTTTGAGAGCCACCCGTAGCTGTTGTATCATGGACTTCTCCCAACACATTCCCATCGCATTCCCTTCCCTCCCCATCTGCACCCACATTCGCTAGCATGGTAGTCTCGTTGGTGTAATCAGTCCTTTCGGGGCATGGCCATGCAGTGGTGTTGTAATGTTGTGTGATGTGTAACATAGTGCAATAAAGTATGATAGCGTGCCATCCTGACCCCCCTGTACACCACAGATTTGATGCACTCCTTTTCTGTGTGTATTTTCACCTGGAGAATCACCTGTTCCTGTAAACAAACAAAAATATTGATGTTTGTGACTGATAGAAGAGAATACACGGCGTACAATTGCTTTGCGACGAAGACCCCTCATTGTTGAGTGACTTGTCGCACTGTCCATACTCCCTCGTTTCCCAAGCTCGGTTGGGTACCAACAGGATAAAAATCTCGGTTCGCCGATGCCGGGGATCGAACCCGGATCTTCCGCGTGACAGGCGGAGATACTGACCATTATACTACATCGACATGTTGAGACATTGAAGTAAGCGAAAACTATTTGTTCAACGGGCATTTGTACTTCACCACCTCAAATCCAGATTTCTTGCGAGGAGCGAAGTCAGCTAATTGAGGCGCAATCCGCGGTGAAGTCACACTCGGGGTAGGGGGCAAGTCAAGTTGAGGATCGCAGAGTGAGAGAGGAGAGAAGGAAAAGGGCGAGAGAACTTGTCGCGGGAAGACGGTCGAGAGAAGGTGGTGATCAGCGAGTCAAGAGGAAGGCAGGCGGGGCATAGTCTCAATCGGGGGCAGCGGGCGGAGAAGGCGGACAAGGATCGAGCAGGGGCGAGCAGTAGCGCGGGGGAGCACAGGAGCGAGCAGGGGCGCGGGAGCGGAGGGCGGCGATGGGCGACATGGTTGCGGCGCTGCGCGCGGTGGTGGCAGTGGCGGAGCCCAAGGCGAAGGTGGAGGCGTACCGCGCGCTGCTGGCTGACGTCATCGCGCGCAACGACGTGGAGCACGCGAAGCTGTTCGTCGACCACAGTGCGGCCATGGGGAGGAGGGGGAGAACGGGGAGTGGGGGGGTTTGCGGGAAAGGGGGGTGGAGAGGAGAGCGAGGGGGGTTGCGGGAGGCAGTGGGGGGTGGCGAGAATGGGGGAGGAGGGATGCGTGCGTGGGGGGGCGGGGTATGGATGGTGGGTGCGACGATGACTGCTGATGCCAGTAGCGGATTGTGCCTTGGACTCTTGGGGGCGGAGCGAGCGAGCGAGTGGTGCTTGTGCCGGGTGCTGCTTGCGGGGACCGTTAATCACCTCGTTTAACGTACTTTAGCCAGCGTTCTGTGTGGCGCAAAGCGGTCTCACGCGTTTCCTCGCCTTTCTTTGCGGTTGGATGAGGTGCTGTGAAGTGTGATGACTTCAGCCCACGCCACCCGTTCTCCCCAGGTGCCCGTGAAAGGCGGAGGCGGCAGCAAGTTCGAGGCGAGTGAGAGGCTGAGTGCACTGGGGGCAAAGCGGCGGGTGGTCCGCACGCCTGTTCGCTGCAGCACTGCGGCACTCCGTTCCACCCTCAGGCTTCTCTTCTCTTCTCACCCTCCCGCTCCCTCCCACGCCCCACTCATCCCTTTCCCTTCCCTTCCCGCAATCCCCCCTAAGCACCGCTTTTCCTCGTTCGTTCCACAACCAACTGCCCTTTCACCCCTCCCTCATCCCCACCTCACCCCCTCCCCTCAAACCCCCATCAACCCCCCCGCACCCCCCCGCCCCTTCCCCCACCCTCACCCACCCCTCAACCCCCTCCTCACCCCCCTTTTCCCCCCTTGTCCCCGCGCCATGCGGCAGTGCGATGAGAGGACGTGCCACTGGTGGTGGCGCGGCACATGCTGTAGCAGCTGCCACTCCGTCCCACAAGCCTCCCTTCTCACCCTCCTGCACCTTGCCTCACCCCCCCTCCCCCCCCTCACCCTCCTCGCCCCCCTCGCCCTCCTCTTTCACTCCCCCCCTGCCCACAGTGCTATCGGAGGACGTCCCACTGGTGGTGGCGCGGCAGGTGCTGCAGCAGCTGGCGGGCGAGCTGGGGGGGCTGCGCGCGGAGCAGCACAAGGCCGTGGCGCTCTACGCCCTCGCTCACATCCAGCCGCGCGTCGTGTCCTTTGAGGAGCAGGTGCGCGCTGGAGAGTGTGTGTGTGTGTGTGTGTGTGTGTGTGTGTGTGTGTGTGTGTAAGTGTGTGTGTGTGTGTGTGTGTAAGTGTGTGTGTGTGTGTGTAAGTGTGTGTGTAAGTGTGTGTGTCTGTGTGTGTGTGTGTGTGTGTGTGTGTAAGTGTGTGTGTGTGTGTGTGTAAGTGTGTGTGTGTGTGTGTGTGTGTAAGTGTGTGTGTAAGTGTGTGTGTCTGTGTGTGTGTGTGTGTGTGTGTGTGTGTAAGTGTGTGTGTGTGTGTAAGTGTGTGTGTGTGTGTGTAAGTGTGTGTGTAAGTGTGTGTGTCTGTGTGTGTGTGTGTGTGTGTGTGTGTGTGTGTGTGTGTGTGTGTGTGTGTGTGTGTGTGTGTGAGTGCATGCGTGCGCGCGCTTGGGCGAGCGGAGCGGCACAAGGCAGTGGCGGTGTACGCCCGTGCACACACGCAGCCATACGTCGTGTTGTTTGAGGAGCGGGTGCGCATTGGGGTTTGCGAGCCTGAGGGTGTGTGCTTTCAGGAAGCGGTGGGATGGGAGTGCGTGTGTGCGCTTGCGTGTACGTGTGCCTGCATGTGTCCCCACCGTATTCCCCCCACCCTTCTGTCGTCCCTCTCCACCGCTTGTACTCGCACTTCCTATAGCCCCCCTACCCTTCCCACCCTCCTCTCTCCCCGTGTCCCCACCCTTTCCCCCTCTCCTGCTCTGTGCTCCCGCACATCCCCGCCTGTCGGGAGCAGGTGGCGGTGATTCGAGAGGGGTTAGCAGCGGTGTACGAGGGCGAGGAGGAGTGGGCCAAGGCCGCTCAGATGCTTGCAGGCATTGACCTGGATGGGGGCAGCAGGTAGTGCCAGTGCCATGCTCAACTCCCCACAGCCTGCCCTGCACACCACACCGCCATGCATCTCACTCTTTCCATGCATGTTCTCTTATGCCTTTGGTCCATCTCCTTGTGCTATTCTGCACCTCCCTCCCCTCTCTTTGTGCTTGCCCGTCTCGCGCATGACCCCCACAACACACCCATGCATCACCGCCCATCAGGGGGCAGGACGTGAAGTACCGCCTGGGCAAGTGCATCAAGATCGCTCTGCTCTACCTCGAGGTGCGCGCTCCGCTATGTGCTCCGCTATGTGCTCCGCTATGTGCTCCCACTCACTCTGCCCTGCCCTCTGCCCTCTGCCCTCTGCCCTTTGCCCTCTGCTCTGTGACTGTGCGTCTGTCACCAGTTGGTCTCTGTACACGTGTGCTCCATGCCACGGTGTGCCATTCAGCTGTCAATGCATTGAGTGCGGATGCACACTCTAGCAAGGCTGCCTGCCTGCCCGCCTGCATGTTTTGTCTGCCTTACTCGCACTATCAGTCCTGACTGTTTCTGTCCTGCCGGTGGTGCTTCCGCCTGCCTGCCTGCCTGTGTGCGCGTGCGTGCATGAGCCCACCAGGACGACGATGCAGTGAGTGCGGAGACGTACATCAAGAAGGCATCCTTCGACATTGGAGAACACAAGGACGAGGCGCTCACACTGCAGTACAAGGTGACCACGCCTTGTTTCACCTCACCGTTGCACCCCTAGTGCCCATGCGTACCGTCCACTGCAAGGGCTCAACGTGTCTTGCTGTTCCTTCATCTTCTTCTGTTCCTCTGCGCTCTGTGCTGCCATCAGGTGTGCTATGCACGGATTCTCGATTCCAAGAGGAAGTTCCTGGAAGCTGCGCTCAAGTACTACGACCTCTCCCAGCTGGACCAGAGGGAACTGGGCGGCAAGTGAGTGCCTTGTGGGCGGCAAGTGAGTGGCTTGTGGGCGGCAAGTGAGTGCCTTATGGGCGGCAAGTGAGTGCCTTGTGGGCGAAAGCTGTGCGGGTGGGTTACAAGTGAATCCAGGAAAATTGAGAAGGAGTGGTGTTGTTTTCATGTGTGTGTGTGGAGAGTGAGGTGGTGGGAGAGAACAGCAACAGGAAATGAGAGAGGTCAACCACCCAACTTCTCACTGCACCCCATCTTCCACACTTCGTTCGTTTCCCCGCTTTTGCTGTTTTGCTGTTTGTTTTTTTTATGTTGATGCCTGCTTGCGTTCACATGTGCTGTCGTGCACAACCCATGTTGAACGCATGCATACTGACGTAACTTGTTGTTGCGTGCACGGGTGACGCACACAGGCAGGTGGACGAGGAGGAGTTGGAAGCGGTGCTGAACGCCGCTGTCACCTGCACCATCCTCGCTGCTGCCGGCCCCCAGCGCTCCCGCATGCTCGCCACCCTCTATAAGGTGCCACCCTCGGTGTGCCACTTACTCACTGTCAGGTGTAACGGTGCAGTGCGGCAACCCTGTAATTCCGATGCGAGCTTGTTAGCATATGGTTTGCATGCTGTACTGCACTGCACCCGACGCGCAATACTTGATTACTCACAGGTCTCTCGACTGGGCGTTTTGCAGTTGGAACAGGAGTGATATTTGTTTTGTGTTAAGTCTCTCGACTGTGTGTGTGACGTGTGCGTGCGCGTGTGTGTGCGCATGGTGGTGCTGCGCCACCCATCAGGATGAGCGCTGCAGCAAGCTGAAGATCTACCCCATTCTGCAGAAGGTCCGCGTCGCCCCTCCCCTGCTTCCTTACTCCCTTTGCATCTTGTTCTCTTGCTCTCCTTCTCTCTTACGTCCTTGCTGTCGCACCCCACCTACCATAATCCCTGCAGCAACGCCATCACCTGTGCCTCGTCCCCCCTGCGCCTTACTGCCGCTCTGCCTCTCGGTGCAGCAACCACGTTTCTCCCTGCACCTCTCGCCCCTCTCTGGTGTCTCTGCAATGGATCCTGCTGTCACTTGCACTTGAAGTTTTTCTCCCCCGTTATGCCCCTCCTCCCCACCCGTTCTCTCACTGCCGTCCTCCACATTCCCCCTCCCACCGCCCTCCTCCTTACCCCATTTTGCCTCCGCACCACCGTCTTTTGCCGCCCGTGCACCCCCTGGCCGTGCAGGTGTATCTGGAGCGCATCCTGCGATCCCCCGAGGTGGAGGCCTTCGCCAAGGAGCTCAAGCCGCATCAGGTACGTGCACATGCCACCCACCACATGTATACCATAATATATATAACAATGGGTAGAATACTCATGTTCGTCGTAGATATTTATGGATGTAATATGTATTCATATTGCTGAAACTGCAGCAGGTGAGGTGAAATGAGTTGAACCGCCATCGGGTGAGTTGCTTCACTATGCACCGTGGGTTCAAAAGCATGTTGTACAATCGCTGCATGCGCACCCTCCTGCCACGCACTTGCTGCCATCATTCATCCAAGCCATGCTTTTCTCACTCCCTGCCTGCCTGCGGTGCAGAAAGCGGTGCTACCAGGGGGGTCAACGGTGCTGGACCGGGCAGTGATAGAGCACAACCTGCTGAGTGCCAGCAAGCTGTACACCAACATCAGGTGAGCAGTCTGTATCCTTGCTTGCCGCACACACGCCTACCTCATTTGTGCGTTAGCTCATGTGGGTGGTATGGTGCAGTAGCGTGCGGTATGTGGCATGGCATGGCGGTCGGTTGAAACGCAGCGAGGCACGTGAATGAAGGCCGTGACCAATTGGACGTGAGTAGCGGGCTGGGCTTGGAGTGTGCATGTTTCTGCCGCACTGCAACTAAGTAGCGCCTGCGGCACTGCCTTGCCGCAGGGTAGAGTCCCACCTGAAATCGGACTGCCAATGCGGATGTGTATCCTCTTTTGCCCCCATCCCTCCTCTGGCCCCTCTTTACCCCCCTCCACTCTCCCTAACCCACGCCACTCCCCGTCCACCTCTCCCCATCCATCACGTGCGCAGCTTTGAAGAGCTGGGTGCTCTGTTGGGCATTGCACCGCACACGGTGGGTGTGAGGGGGGTGGGGTGTGAGGGCAGTAGGGGTGTCGGGGGAATTGTATGCTGCTGGGTGGCTTGCTGTGGGTGATGGCAATGCACCACACGTCATGCGCCATACACCATGCATTCTACACACATGCATCCTGCACCATGCAACATACAATTGACGAACTTGCACTGTGCTCCATGCATGTGAGTTTTCATCTCCGCGCTGCCGTGTCACAGAGCAACATGGTCTGCAGTGTCACAGAGCAACATGGCCTGCCGTGTCACAGAGCAACATGGTCTGCCGTGTCACAGAGCAACATGGTCTGCCGTGTCACAGAGCAACATGGCCTGCCGTGTCACAGAGCAACATGGTCTGCCTACACCGTTGAGTTTCTCTGCACTACACTTGCTGCTCCCATTTCTGCGCTCAAATCCCTTCACGCCTGCAACCATCCGCTCCAGTCATAAGCCATCCAGTCATTCCCACCGCTGTACACTGAAGTCACCGTCTTCTACCCTCCTGCTCCTGTATCCCTACGGACCCTACCCACCTGTGGTGGCGTGTGGGGCAGGCGGAGAAGGTGGCAGCGCGCATGATATCGGAGGACAGGATGAAGGGCAGCATCGACCAGGTGAGGCAGCATGAGGCAGAACGCTGAGGTGAGGCAGCATCGTGCAGGTGCGTTCGTGCGGGTAGTTATTCAGAGGGCATGCATGCAAGGTTACGAATGGTGCCTAAGGTTGCTGTGAGACACTTAAGCCTAGGGGAGCCTTTCAAGTGAGCACACTCGTTGACAAAAAGTGTCACTCAATCATCTGCAGTATTATTCAACCTTGCACTTGCTACTCTTCCATCCCTCTCGCTTGCTCTCCCCCCCTCTTCCGCCCCAACTCTTTGCCTCCCACTCTTCCTCCCGTCCTGAAGTGCTCGCCATAAGGTGGCAGCAGGAATTTGCAAAGATTGCCACCCTTCACTCCCCGCTCTCCCTGCCACCCCTCTCTCTCTTCTGTCCCGGCCACCCCTCACCCGTGGCTCCGTGGTGCCCGTGTCAACCGTCGCCCACGGCAGGTGGAGGCGGTGATTCACTTCGACAACGACACGGACGACCTGCAGCAGTGGGACCAGCAGGTACACACAATCATATCTGCATCAGATTAGCGCTCATTGCTTCACGCCTGCCCTGTGCGCTCTGTCCCATGCCCGCCCTGTGTGCAATGTCTCACGCCCGCCCTGTGTGCAATGTCTCATGCTGCAGATTGCCAGTCTGTGCCATGCGCTCAATGACATTCTCGATGGAGTGGTCAACAAGGGAGCCATGGCTGTCACAGTTTGAATGAATGCTCTCGTTATGATCAGCAGCAGCTCTCACCTATCAGGCAATGCCGTCAGTAAATGAACACATTTGTGAGATGGTCACATGTGATCCATCCATGCTTATTCCAAGGTCCATTCACTCGTGCGCTTTACATCCGTTTGTCGTGGGGGTTACTGTATGTATGTTTGAAAAGTCTCCAAAGCTTATGTTTTAGACTAAACCCTAGTCGGTACATTACAACCAACAACCACAGAATAAACCCACAACCACGACCCCTCTTGACTACGTCATGTGTACTAGAATACTGTTATGATGTGCACATAGAGACAAAATCCTGAGAATTTGATGCTCGGCAAGCAAGGAAGGCTGGCTGGATGCTGCAGATGAGGCTGGGCTCGAGCTAGAATGAAGTACTCTCTGCCTGGCCGCTCCTCAAACTGCCGCACCAAAAAGGAGAGGTGGAGGAACAGGATGGAAACACACATTGGTGAAAGTGCAAGCTAACTGCAAATGTAGGGATGGCATGACATGTGGCTTGTGGTGACCCATGAATTTTTGCCAGGCGTTTGTAAGACAGAAGCACATCAAATCTAAGTCATCCACTTGGTCACCGTTCTTGCCAATTCTACCAACCCCTCATATGCACCTTACGGGCACCCACCCTCAAGAGGTTGCCTCCCTCCCAACCCAATGCACTCGCTGCCGTCCCTCAAGATGCACTTAGCATCGACCCCACAGTCGTTGTTGCAGCCTTTGGGACACGCACGGGGCGATTGTGGAGGCAGGGAGGAGGAACAATGTGGGTAAGGGGAAGGGAGAAACTCAGTTTGTTACGATTGTTTGACACTTAATACCAGGAGGCAGAAGTGTGATACATGGCATGTCAGGCTGCTCTGAGGAATCGCAGCGGTGAAGCACGGTGAGGTGCGGTGCGCCGACGGGCCTGGCCTTACCACGATGGGCAAGCGCGTCACACGCACTAAGAGGATGCTGTGCCAGCCTCACACCTGGCAAGAGGCTGCTGTGCCAGCCTCACACCTGGCAAGAGGCTACTGTGCCAGCCTCATACGTGGCAAGAGGCTGCTGTGCCAGCCTCACACGTGGCAAGAGGCTGATGTGCCAGCCTCACACGTGGCAAGAGGCTGCTGTGCCAGCCTCACACGTGGCAATAGGCTTCTGTGCCAGCCTCACACGTGGCAATAGGCTTCTGTGCCAGCCTCACACGTGGCAAGAGGCTACTGTGCCAGCCTCACACATGGCAAGAGGCTGCTGTGCCAGCCTCACACGTGGCAAGAGGCTGCTGTGCCAACCTCAAACGTGGCAAGAGGCTGCTGTGTCAGTCTCACACGTGGCAAGAGGCTGCTGTGCCAACCTCACACGTGGCAAGAGGCTGCTGCGCAAGCCCTGCAATTTTACCCGTCTCGCATCTCACTGATGTTGGCAACTCGGCGTTGGGGAGGGTCCTGAGAACAGCAGCAGCGAGGGAAGCAGGGGAGCACAGGGAGCGATTAGTCTTTCGAGGAAGAAAGAGAGGGCGACGAATCCGCAGCAACGAAACAAAACAATTTGTCCAACTGCCTCCGAATGACGTTCCACCGGTGTGTGGCATGTGCCGCGGGCTCACCACTTGGTGATGGGATAATCCGGCTCGTCGGCGCTGGCCGGCGGAGGGCGCAGGATGGTCTTGTAGGGAGCTCCGGTGCAGCCCGGGGTGGAGTGGAAGGCGATGCTGCCGGGCACGTACGCCCACGTGATCTCCGCGGCGGCTTCGTACCCTTTCTTGAAATACGTCCGATCCACATCTTTCCACACAGAACCTAAGTATAGAAGCCTCTCGGAACCGCCTTTCGTGCCTCCGAATTGCACTACCGATGTAACAACCTTGCCCTTATAACAAACGGGCCGCTGGAATAGAATAACAGAGTATATAAAATTACAAATACAAGATCTTAAAATTCTAAGATACTCTGCAGATGACGTGGAGCTCTTGGGTAGAAGCTTGTAGTCGTAGAGGTAGTTTTTCAGCCAAGAAAAACCCTTGGTTGAAGAACCTGTCACTTGAGAAAGTAGAGCTAGCTAGAGTTTGTGAGTGGAAGAAATTCCCTTAGACGAAATCCCATTTCCAAGATTATTTAGTTGGAAGTTGGAATTGGGGGAATGAGCATGTTGGCTCAGATCTCTTCCAAGACCTCCTTGGGGAGCTCCTCCTCCTCCATGGCCTCAAGGTGGAGGAGCTCCTAAGGTGGGGTTGCTTAGGTGGCATGAAATGTTCTGAACCAATGAACATTGAGCACCTATAAAGATTTACAAGAGAAGGTGTAACAAAGTGGTTGCACAATTTAGGTTGGTTGAAATTCCAACCAATGTGATGGTTGGAACGTTCCCCAACCCGGTTTGTCCTTTTGTGGTGGTTGGTCACAAATGTTACCCAAACCAACCACTCTGACTTCCCTACGCACATATCCCTTCGATAATTGCTTGTTAGCGTAGGTCGCGCTTGGTAGGGATAGGCGATTAGGGAGTCGCGGACTAGGTAATACGTTACACTCCTCCCCCTCTAGTTGGCATCGTCCTCGTTGTCGTAGAGTTCTTCCGGGGACGAGTACTTCGAGCACGTCCCACCACATTACGACTAGGGTCAACACCATCGACTGGATGTGGGGCTGCTCGTCGGGCCATGAATTCCATATATGACTGAACTGTTGTTTCACTTATATGGTCTTCTGACTCCCATGAGTTGTGTTCAGGCCCATAGCCGTTCCTTTAAATGAGGGAATCGCGAATAGTCTTACGTTCGTAAATGTCGGAGCCGAAAAACGACCTTGTAATTCCTCGGTTGCAGGTGCAGTTCTCCTCTGAAATCTTCGGACGTACTGTGACTGCCCACTCGGCCACCAGCTGTTTCCTTCAGTTCACCAGAACCCAGTTTGTGGGTATAATATGGAACCGGGGACTAGACTTGGGTTATTCCGAGACCGACTAAATCGGATCCTAGTGGCATCAAAGCCGTCGATCTCGTAGGCGAACTGCCCGTGCCGATGCTGCTTAACAGATTACCGCGTTTCTCCCACCTGCGCTTTGCAGGTGTTTCACCCATCGCTAGTATTCGGCAGGTAACTCCGAAGTTTCGGCTGGTCCTACAATCTGTTTGAAGAATTTCCCGAGGTGTGTATTTGAACACCGAACAACGAGTCCTAGGTATCCCTGCCGCTGCGAGTCTTGCCAGGCCCCTTTCGTTTACGTAAACGCGACCCTTCCACGCGATTTTTCCAAACAGCTCAACCGCACTCCAAGAATTGTAGAAGCACCCTCAACTCCAACTCCTATTTTTTTGCAGTTCATCCCCCGACAATTTCGCTTGCCGTCATTCACCCAGCGTCCGCTTTTGTCGGATGAGGTATTGTCGGTGTTGCCCGCGCAATAATCCGGCTAAGGTGCAGGCGCAAATGCTTTCAGAGTCGGGGCAATTCTATTTAAAAAGCTCGCACCCAACCGCTTTGCAGCCCACCAGCCTATCACGCCACATACCGTAGCTTCCGAGTCCCAGCTACGCCGCTACACCGTCAATCGAGTAGACGCCCGGGTCAGGAGAAACCTGTAGAATGCACCAATTTTCCTCGCGGCTCCCCAATAATTTCGCGTTCTGTTTCACCCAGCCTGATTTTGTCGGAGTAGAACAGTGCCGCAAACTCCTCTCTTGTTTTTTCTTGCCTTTTTCCGTACAGCTGTCGAACGAGCACCAATGGCGGCCTGTACCACACTCCTCCGAAAATGGCGGGGTGATACCCCAAACGCCGTTTGATCGTGGGTTGTTTGCAGCTGTCCCCGAAGACGACTTCCGATACGGGGAATCCGTTCCCGAAATTGTCAGTTAGCTGTCAACAGTACCAGGCACGCAGCGTCATGCGAGTGTCTTCCAAGGTGCACGGGCTTGAATTGCCCTTGCCGCCTGCGCCCCACTCCTTCTTAAGTGTGATTTTTCCACGTCGTTTTCGTTGCAGCCCGTAAGTGTTGGCGGGTCTGAAGTCACGTCTGCCAACATGCGCTCTTGCTTAAATCTTCGATGACGTGCCCGCCATGCAGTAAAAGCGGTTGCTCTTAACAGGTCGGGCGGGACGGCAGTTGACCCCCGCATAAATCGGGCAGTCTTCGTGTCGTCTCTCCTCGCCGCCAATGTTTTCGGACGCAAAAGACCATTTGCGCCTGGCGAGTCCTTCAAGCTGTCTTTTTCTTCTACAGAAGCTCCGAATTTGTCGCGCGCAATTTGACGACGTGCCACCAACGCCAACTGTCGCACAGGACGACGACTCTGAAAATTCCGCGCATATGCCGACGCAGGTCCGATGGCGCCAGCTGCCACACAAAAAGGTAATTTGAAATCGTCGCAACGCGGTGGAAATAGCTCACGTTTTGACGTTGTGACAGCAACAGCTGTCTGTTTCCCGGGGGTAAGGGAGGTCACGGTTGATTGCGACCGACGAAGGCAAAGATCCGGCGGTACCAAGGAGTGCCCCATAATTTCATGGCCGTGACGAGCAACTACATGTTTTCATAGCTGGCTAGTGCACAGCTCCTGGACCCCAAGGCATCCTTCCTTGTTTCCCCCCCACCCCCGAGGGGTAATACATTCTAAAAATCGGGGTAGGCTAGTGTTATGAATGAACTTACTGAGTGCCCAATAAAAACGAATATCGATAATGTGATTCCAAGGTCTCACGAACGATACAATGAAAGTGACGAGATTTTATTGAGGGATTTCTAGCTAGGCGAAGAGGTCGGGCGAGGATGGCTCGAAAAATGTTGCGATTGGAGCGGGGGCAACCCGGGAGTGGTTTGGGGCGAC